GTGCCTGCACTCTGAAGGAGGGGTGTTAATGTTGCAGTTTAAAAACTGTAGTGTAAAGCACCCCTTCTGGCAAGACAGTGATGGAGTGAATGATGGTGAAAGTTTTTCTTTTTCGGGCCACCCTGCCTTGGTGGGAATCGGCCGGTGTGATAATAAAATAAAAAAAAATAATAATTTTAATGGATAAAAATTAGTAGAACCAAAATACATGTAGTTGGTAGTAATATCACACATGTACATGCTGGAGCTGCACTAGTATAAAAAAGTTACCTGGCATTAATTACTTTAATATACATTTCAAGAGTTTAAGAAATTTTTACAGCCTCCTTTGAAAGATTGGGGAGTTTTATTTTTAAATATACTATTTGTTTGTAAAGGAAAGTACTCAGATAAATGGAATATACTGTAATTATTGTTATTTTTTTATCTAAACTTTTAAATTATTTTATTTTGAATGTATTTTTAAATAAACCAAGTTTTCCCCCCTGCATGATATTTATTGTAGTTTTAAATTAAATTTGGGTTATTTATGGTGTGATCGTGTATTGGAATGCTAATAAATGGACAACAGTCTTAAGCAAATAGATACATATTATATTTTTTTAATCAAAAAAATTAATTATCTGTGGTACATAATTTCCCCCAGCCACCAAAAGCACAAACCTTTTTGATATCACGGGAAGGGTAATGGATATTTTTTACATGGAAAAGTGTACATTATTCTGGATATTACCCTTATCATGCCGATATTCTCAGCTGAAGTTGCTGAAATTTCTTATCTGACACTCAGTTTAGGCACTTCTTTTATTCTCTACTTACAATTTTTTTTATTATTCTAATACATATTAAAATGAAAATTTTTTACCAACCCTTAAAGGGAGGGACGGTTGCATGCCTGACCCAAAGGAAATGGAACTACCTTCTACTTCATGGAATTATACCTGATTGCCTCCCATTTCTCGGGTGCTATATACCCTGTGCTGTATGACCCTTATGGGTTTAGCACTTAGTTATGATTTTAATAATAATATAACCCCTAGCACTTTCCAGTAAATATAATAGTCTTGCCAAGATAGCAGTGTTATGCCTTGTGCTCTGCTATTTTGAAATTTTTATGAAACTTGTGTAACCCAAAAAATTTTGGTAATGCACAGGTGGGTACATGTATTGTTATCTAAGTCTGACATTTATGCGAGTCCAGATTGACTATGATGGCTCTGAACTGGTTATTTCCAAAATCAATAGATCTATTTTTTTAGGAGAAGTTCTTCAATATTCAAAAGCACTGCATGACCCTTTAGGTTTATTGTTTAGTTTGTTATCATCACCACCATTGCCATTATCTCATTCAAGATTCAAGGGAACTGGGGTTATTCTACTTTTCCTCTGGATGAAATTTGATTATGTCCCATTTCCTAGGTACTATGTGACCTGTGGGTTTAGCACTTTTCTCTAGTTAAAAAAAAAAAAAAGGTTCTATGACAAAGAAATGCAGTACTTGTTCTGGGTTTTATTTTCATTATTAACATCTTCACATAAAAAGTATGCATGCATAATACGTGTATATAATGTATGCTGTGGGCATGTTAGTGAGTGGAGGCAAATGGTTATTAGGACTTGACAAACTGTTGGAGTGTGGCCACAGTAACGTTTTGTGCAGGGATCCAGGGAAGCTGGTTAACCGGAATTGAATCCTGGAGGTGGGAAGTACAGTGCCTACACTCTGAAGGAAGGGTGGTGATATTTGCAGTTTGGAGGGGCATCTGAACTGTGGTATCAACTTGCCTCTGGCAAGGTAGTGATGGAATGAATAATTGGCACTGATGGCCAAGTCTCTATACTTGTTGATTATGTACTCTTCCCTGTGATCTACAGCACCTCTGTTGCTGAAAGAGGTGGATATAGGTGTCAACCAGTCAACATGCAGGTATAGTCTAATGCTAAAAGCCTGCCATTCTTCCAGGGATAGATGGTATTCTCACTGGGGTAGTTTATGGGATTATTGGTAATGCTGGATGTTAGGAGTCTGGGCTCTCTCAGCTGGGCACCCAGCTGAAGGCTTCTCTTGATGTCACATATCTCGCTGTGTTTTGCATGCCATCCCTTGGTTTTTTGAAGCAATGTAGACCATATTGATCGGCTTGCACATTGCTGCAAATACATGTATATTCTGTATGAACTGGGGCAGTGAGGCAGGGAGTCACTGCAATACAGAGGTTCTGTGGGTTGAAGCATGTACCCATTGCTGAAATGAGAGAGATTAGGAGGAAATCCCCAGAGTGATGTGCACTCACTGCTTGGAGACAGGCACCATAATGTGTTGCAGTTCAGTCCCTGGATCCATCATGTACTATTATCAGGTAGGTTTGCCTGGACAGGTTCTGGCCCGGTTCTTCTCTATGTGGTGACCCAGCAGTGACTTCCAAAGGAAAGGAGTTGGAGTTTGTACAAGTGATATGTGCCCTTTGCAGCCCTGTGGTGAGGGCAGCTCTGACATGGGTACAGTGAGTCTTCAGCACAAGTGGTGTAGCCAGTGCCAGAATAAGGTATGGGCTTTAGAGGCTGCAGTTCCCTCAAGGAAGGTTCCTTGATGCTGGTGAGGGGTTCTTGATCTAGGGAATTGGGTCTGTGCTCCAATTCCCCGAATTAAACCTGCATACCTTCCACATCCTCCCCACAGGTGCTGTATAATCCTACGGGTTTAGCGCTTCTCCCTTGATTATAATTCAGAGGCTGGAGCCCAAGGGTCTTCACCAGCTGGAAGGTATCAGGGCTGGTATGAGGTTTTCAATTCTCAAAAGCTCTGCTCCATCTGAGTCGTTCCTGGCACTCTGGGAGCAGCCAGAGTGCCAGAGCATTCTCTACACAATTTTTTTTTTTTTTTTTTTTTTTTTTACTACCCCCGCAGTGTGTGTTTGGGGTGCATAATAAAGATATGAAATTAAATGATGATGTTGAAGGCCTTTTACCCAAAAGAACTGAGCTTATCTTCCTCTTCCTTGAATCCAACCATGTATATTTCATAGCGCCTGGGGAATAATGCTTCACTCACCCCACCCCTCAAGGAAGGCTCCTTGACGCTGGTGAGGGGCTCTTGATCTAGGGAATTGGATCTGTGCTCCAGTTCCCTGAATTAAGCCTGAATGCCTTCCATCCCCCCATAGGCGCTGTATAATCCTACGGGTTTAGTGCAGCGCTGTATAGCCCTTGTGGCTTAGCGCTTCTTTTTGATTATAATAATAATACGGGTTTAGTGCTTCCCCCTTGATTATAATAATAATTCACACACCCCACCCCTCAAGGAAGGTTCCTTGATGTTGGTGAGGGGCTCTTGATTTAGGGAATTGGATCTGTGCTCCAGTTCCCCGAATTAAGCCTGAATGCCTTCCACATCCCCCCCCCCAGGCGCTGTATAATCCTCCGGGTTTAGCGCTTCCCCCTTGATTATAATAATAATTCACACACCCCAGGCCTGTCACCCCTTTGGATTTACCTTTTCTCCCCTTTCCTGATAAAAATAAGTAAATTTAATAAACCAAAAGCAGTTTCCAGAATCCAGATCAAAATCAAAATTTTTATTTTCAAAATATGCAAAAAGAAATTGTGCAAAGAATTAAAACCCCCATACTATGTGCAGGGTGACACGCTCAAATTTTATTTTAGGGTTCCTGATGCTAATTCGGATGGAGCTCAGTATTTTTTCCCATAAAACTCTTCCCTCAAGGGAGGTTCCTTGAAGCTGGCCCCCTCATGGAAGGTTCCTTGATGTTGGTGAGGGGCTCTTGATTTAGGGAATTGGATCTGTGCTCCAGTTCCCCGAATTAAGCCTGAATGCCTTCCACATCCCCCCCCCCCAGGCGCTGTATAATCCTCCAGGTTTAGCGCTTCCCCCTTGATTATAATAATAATTGAAGCTGGCCCCTCAAGGGAGGTTCCTTGATGCTGGCGAGGGGCTCTTGACCTCGGGAATTGGATTTGTGCTCCGGTTCCCTGACCCCTCAAGGAAGGTTCCTTGATGTTGGTGAGGGGCTCTTGATTTAGGGAATTGGATCTGTGCTCCAGTTCCCCGAAATTAAGCCTGAATGCCTTCCACATCCCCCCCCCCAGGCGCTGTATAATCCTCCGGGTTTAGCGCTTCCCCTTGATTATAATAATAATAATAATCCGGTTCCCTGAATTGAGTCTGAATACCTCCCATCCCCCCCACATGCGCTGTATAGTCCTACGGGTTTAGCGCTCCCCATGATTATAAACCTTGATGCTGGCGAGGGGCTCTTGATTCAAGGAATTGAAGGTTAGGTTAGGTAAGGTTCGTCAGGAAACAGGACAAATGTTTCCTGACGCGGGTCTTAGTCAGATGATGACCCGCCTTTGGAGCTTTTGGTCACCTGACCGAGGCCTTCCGCTGGCTTACCGGTCCACCCCTTTAAAAATTATGGTCATTTATAACCAGTCTGTATATAAGGAATTGAACTTAACCTTCCCTTCCTTATATCGAACCGCGTTAACTCCCGGTCCCTGTGGCTATGTGACCCTTACGGGTTTAGCGCTTCCCGTATATAAATATTTTTAGTGTATTTAACTACATTTCTGTCACTATAAATTCACATCATTAACAGTAATAATGTAAGTGACCCCAATAATGTAAGGGACCCCAATGGAAATAAGTCACTCTGTGACTTTTTTGTTTTTGATAATAATAATAATAATGTGACTTTTTTGGGGTTATCCTAGGTTCTCTACACATTTGCTGCTATGGATGATAATTTATTTAACTATTTGTGTATACCTGAATAAACTTAGTTACTTAGGGCGAATTGACGAAATTCTATTTTAGTTATGCATTTAAAAATTCCATCTTCTATAATAAATAAATATATATACAGGTTATACAGTAAATATTTTTAATTATATTGAAAAGACTTTAATTAAGTAATATAAGTGTAGAATTAGTGATAAACTATTCTATTATCCGGGAGAAGTTCATGAAGAAAAGTCTGGCATTATTGCAATTTTTGACAATCTTATCTGTTATGAAATAGATATTTAACATGACTATTGACATTGAAGCAGACAAGGACGAGGACCGTGAAGAAGGACAGAACTGTAATATTATGGCGTCCTTGGCAGTACCCTCACAGTGAGTCAACCTTCCAGTGTCATGCCATAAGATACTTCTGTCTCACAAGTTCACGTTACACTCCATTTCTACACTAGTCATTGCAACTTAAAAAAACTTGTGCAGTCATCGCTGTTTCCAATGGAATGTCAATGGCCATTTTTTCTCTTGAACTATATTAGTTATTATTAAAAGATGCTCTTCTTGGGAAATTAGATATGTACAAGCTTTCTATACCACCGAATTAACAACTATTTCTGGGGATTTTCATTTTAGGAGATAGCGAGAAATGGTAATAGTTGTTAATAACTACTCGTTGGAATTCAGTCAATATTTTGCGCTTTTCAGTACATACAACCTATATATGTAATGGAATAAGCAACCATTTTTTGTGCAAATTGTTATTTATGGAGATAATGGAAAATAAATTCGTTTAGATGGTGCAGGGCACCAAGGCGTGTCTCGCCGCCAGGCCTAATGTAGAGAGAGAGAGAGACTAGTGGCATTTTCAGGTTAAATTACATAACCTACCAAATGTTACCTTAATTATCCTAATCTTCCAAAATAAAAATTTACACAAGAAATACTTAAAGTAAACCCTCTGTATAACAGACCTCGGAAATACAATTCAGAATCTGCTGGATCAATCAATTTGGAAACTCATACGTCATTATTTCCTTTTCTTACCCTTTAAGGGAGGACTCCAATGGAAATAAGTCACTGGCTTTTTATTAGTTATCCTGGGTAATTTACACTCTGTATGATAATTGTACTTATGTGTTCCTGTGCCTAAATAAACTTATTTATTTACTTATGCTGAAGGATCAGTGATCCAAGGAATTGGATATGACCTCCCCTTCCTTGAATCAGACCTGATTGCCTTCCATTGCAACATATGATGTGTGACCAATAAAGCTGTAATAATACGGAAATGTTTTTTTCAGACATCCACGGGCTAGAGAACGTGCTTCCAGTGTCTGTGATTCAGACATAGATTTAAATATTAGAGTCATCAGTTATGAAGACACTGTTCGCAAGCTCGATCACTACTATGGCATTGGTAAATCTCTCTACTTTTTGGAAGTTTTTTTTTTTTTTTCAATTATTATTACTCTAGCTGTATTTGACTTGTTTTAGTAAATCTCCTTGAATTATACATTTTTTTTTTTAGGTTTCACCCTTAAAGATAAATGCTTTGATGCTGGTGAAGGGCTCTTGATTGAAGGAATTGAAGCTTCTCTTCCCTTGAATCATATCTAAATACAGTATCTCCCATTTTACAGGTGCTGTATTATCCTTTGGAGTTTAGCTGTTCGTCATGATTGTATTAAAAAATATATAATCTGAGCACTTATCGGCACTTTTCAGCTCCTACAGATTTAATGCTTTCCCATGAATATAATTCTGTTCAAACATACTAATACTTTGACTGCTTATGTTTTTCCATCTCTTCTATCCTCAAGGACCCCAATGGAAATAAGTCACTTTGTCTGACTTTTTGGGTTTTCCTAGGTAATCTACACATATGCTGCTATGTACGATAATTTATGTAACTGTACTTATATGTACCTCTACCTGAATAAACTTGAATATTAAAATGGATGGATTTATGAAGGATGAGGTTAATCATAGAATTGATGAGGGAAAAAAGGTGAGTGGTGCATTGAGGTATATGTGGAGTCAAAAAACGTTATCTATGGAGGCAAAGAAGGGAATGTATGAAAGTATAGTAGTACCAACACTCTTATATGGGTGTGAAGCTTGGGTGGTAAATGCAGCAGCGAGGAGACGGTTGGAGGCAGTTGAGATGTCCTGTTTAAGGGCAATGTGTGGTGTAAATATTATGCAGAAAATTTGGAGTGTGGAAATCAGGAAAAGGTGTGGAGTTAATAAAAGTATTAGTCAGAGGGCAGAAGAGGGGTTGTTGAGGTGGTTTGGTCATTTAGAGAGAATGGATCAAAGTAGAATGGCATGGAAAGCATATAAATTTATAGGGGAAGGAAGGCAGGGTAGGGGTCGCCCTTGAAAGGGTTGGAGAGAGGGGGTAAAGGAGGTTTTGTGGGTGAGGGGCTTGGACTTCCAGCAAGCGTGCGTGAGCGTGTTAGATAGGAGTGAATGGAGACGAATGGTACTTGGAACCTGATGATCTGTTGGAGTGTGAGCAGGGTAATATTTAGTGAAGGGATTCAGGGAAACCGGTTATTTTCATATAGTCGGACGTGAGTCCTGGAAATGGGAAGTACAATGCCTGCACTTTAAAGGAGGGGTTTGGGATATTGGCAGTTTGGAGGGATATGTTGTGTATCTTTATATGTATATGCTTCTAAACTGTTGTATTCTGAGCACCTCTGCAAAAACAGTGATAATGTGTGAGTGTGTTGAATGATGATGAAAGTATTTTCTTTTTGGCGATTTTCTTTCTTTTTTGGGTCACCCTGCCTCGGTGGGAGACGGCCGACTTGTTGAAAAAAAAAAAAATTAAAATGGTATAAAATACCGACAGGTTTTTAGGTAAGACACATATGCAACAGTTAGGTATCTTTATTTTGAAACGTTTCGCTTACTCGGTAAGCTTCTTCAGTCGAGTACAGAAAAGTTGATAGAAGCAGAAGAGACTTGAAGACGATGTAATCAGTCAATCACCCCTTCTACTAGTGAGGATGACTGGGCTTGAGAGGGACTTGACCTCCCAATGACTACATTCTTACCTCTACTAGTGGCCTACATCTCACCTGGCAGCATATAAGGCTCCATCCTGTCACTTCAACTCCATATTGTTTCAGACTATGGAACAATACTCTTCTCCAGACTGAGAGACTGACAACTTCAAGGGTGATGGACTGATTACATCGTCTTCAAGTCTCTTCTGCTTCTATCAACTTTTCTGTACTTGACTGAAGAAGCCTACTGAGTAGGCGAAACGTTTCAAAATAAAGATACCTAACTGTTGCATATGTGTCGTACCTGAATAAACTTACATACTTACATCCTGTAAATAGTTCAAATATGACTCAAAATCATAACACAACTGCAAACAAACCACGAAATGGGTGGGGTTTGAACCCATGGCAAGTGAGTCCTGAAACTCCAGGCCCGTGTAAGCCAGCTGGTGGAATGGCTTACACACTGAACTGGAGTTTTAGGACTCACTTGCTGAAGGTTCAAACCCCACCCTTTCTGTGGTTTAGTTAATAATTCAAGTACAGTGGACCCCCGCATAACGATCACCTCCCAATGCGACCAATTATGTAAGTGTATTTATGTAAGTGCGTTTGTACGTGTATGTTTGAGGGTCTGAAATGGACTAATCTACTTCACAATATTCCTTATGGGAACAAATTTGGTCAGTACTGGCACCTGAACATACTTCTGGAATGAAAAAAGATCGTTAACCGGGGGTCCACTGTACATAATTTGAAATGCATTCTTTGAATTTTGGCCAATACGTGCAGTTTTTCAAGTACATACCAACACATTGTTTAGGAAATACTGTTCTTGCACCAGCACATAATTTACAGAAGATACAGGATATAAAAAGTAAAGTGGGTGGATGAGTTCATTTTATTCATGATAAGAATATAATTTCACTACTATCACTAGCTGCTTCTCTCTCCCAATCTTAAAGTTATTTAGCAATGTGATTGTGTAGAATGTATAGAACTGAATGTGTAAAATGTGAATGTGTAGAACTGTATTAGGCATATTTATCGCTATGTAAAATTCGACCTATCAAACATTTTTATTACTGTACTTGAATCAGTACTGAAATATATTTTAACTGCAATTTCTTCAGTGTGGATAATATTTTGTTTAGTATAAGTTTTAATTGTACTTTTAATTTTTTAAAAAGTTTTTGGCAGTGCAGTGCTATAGAATAGGGATTCCTCTACACATAGTGGATGTAAATTTATTTATAAAATTAGACTTCACTGAAGGTATTTAGGCATCTGGACTTACTACTGTGGTGCATTTGGCATTGGGAAAAAGTAATTATGAATATAATAGACATTATAGGTTAAATATACAAAGGATAAGCAGAAATTATAAATAATTTATTATGTTAGCAGAGTTAAGCCTTAAAATTAATGATAGGATCATCTGAAGCATTTATAGTGATAAGTTTCACTGGTGTTTCAATGAAATCATTAGCATTATGCAGGAAATAAAGGAAGATAAGTTAAATATTTTCCTCTTTAGTCAAGCGACAACTACTACAGAACCAGAGCATCACTCTTGGAATCTTCCCGCTGGTCAGCCAGGAGACTGAAGTAGCTGATATGCGCACTTCTATTTATTGCTCGGCATGTATTTGGAGTCTCTTCCAGGCCTACAGGTGATATATTAACCTCTTGTACAATTTAATAGTACTTAATATTAAGAGGACTTTAATTTCATGTTTATGTCCATGCACGTTATCCCAAAGAGTGATATACGGAAAACATAGAATAATAGGTAATAAAATATGTATACTGTAGTTCTTTCAATATATTGGCCCATTCCCAAAAGGTAGGGTGACCCAGAAAATGAAATACGTTACCATCACTCTTTCCAAAAGTTCATGGACGTCACAATTTGACTGACTTCTAAACAGCAACATCCCCTCCTATACTTTAGAGTATAGGCACTGTACTTCCTACTTCCAGAACTCAAGTCCAGCTAAACAGTGTCCCTAATTCTTATATTTTCTATATACTATACTGTTATGCTGTAGAATGATAACATTGAGCACTTGAATATTAATACACTACAAAACCTGTATTCTCTGACTCTGTATGTCATATTCACTTTTCATGAGGTATTTCACTTCTTGCTGTATCTCCCAGTCTTTTGCAATATTTCAGTGCATTGCAGACCAAATCACATATTTTTCTCTTATTATTAAGGTATTTTTGATTATCATAAATGCTTATCATATCATTTGCAATTTCATTAATTCATATGTTAGTGTCTGTGCTGGCAGTAAATAAGGCTCTTAAAAATGTTCTTCAGTTTGTTTGAAATTAAAAACAAGTGAAATCTAGTCCTCTTTTTTTTTTTTTTTTTTTTTTTTTTTTTTTTTTTTTTTTTAGGCTTACTTTCTTCCCCTTCCCTCTTCAAATAGAAAATTTGCAAGAGATCAAAGAAAGCTTATGTTAAATATTTTTATTTTAGTATTGTATTTATTATCCCGGTTAGAGAGTGTACTGTATCTCGTAATTTTTCCCAACTTTCATAAATTGTCAACAGGGCCTTTACACATTGATTTGACAGTTTGCATCCCTTTTTTGTAAACTTTCATAAAATGAAACTTCCTATTGAAATTTTGCAGTGAGCCTCCTTTGTAGCAATTTTTAGAAACAGTCTTTAATTTATTTGAAGCTATTCATTTGCATGCTGAGTGAAAAGTAAGTGGAACTTTGCCAAAAATCACTACTGTACATACTTTTAATACTGGATTATGTCTTGGATGGTCCCATTTAAAAGTGCAGCTATAGAAAGTCTTTTGCAAAAATCAATTTTACGTAATTTGGGGGGGGGGGGGGGCAGGCAGATTTTAAACTGCTTGCAAGGTACAAGAGAACACAAACTTTAGAATTTGATTTTTCTGAGAATTTGAAAGCTCATTTTGGAAATCAGAGCATGATATAGTTACTCACTGTACTGTGGATTACTTCATTGCTTCAGTTTTCAGTGCGGATTCATGTTTATCACTTTTTACTCATAAACTTGTATACGGTAGATCGTCAGTTTTCTAACAGTTGGCTATTTGGCATCCAACATTATTTAGTAGTGCTGATAACTGCAGATAGGTAGAAAAGGAATGCACAACAGTGAGTGGTCCTGAAGAGATGATGCACTTATTTAAAGTTTGTTTTTGTTTTTCCTTTTTCTTGAGGAGCCGGATAATCAACAATCAGCTGTATATTAATGTGTTAAGATGTATGCAGCTTTACTTCTTTCCTTTGTAGGCGTATAGATGATGATCGTGGGAAGGCATATGAGCTAGGCCAGTCATGTGTCAAGTGCATGCGTGGGATACTCACATGCTGGATGCGCCAGACTAATCTTGTAGAAAACTTCAAGAAGGGCCAAAACCCTAAATATGCATTACACTCCAAGTTTCATCTGATAACTGGAGAGGAAGTTATATCATCTGATAACTATGGTCATCTTCAAGTAAGTTGGAACCATCTATATCCTTTTTTTTTTTTTTTTTACAAATCAGTTTACAAGGTAAGAACCATTATCCCAGCCATATCTATGTTATACTACCAACTTTCCCAGGATACCACCCACAACAGTTTACTAACATCCACTGACCAATTTACTGCTAGGTAAGCATGGGCAGCAGGTGTAAGGAGACAGGTCCAGACATCTTGATATGCCTGGAAATTGAACTCTGGTCTTTATTGGTTGTGAATTGAGTGCTCTACCACTTCGATTTGTATTGATTTATTGTTGCATTGAATGAATTGTGTAAATTTTTGACATCATTGGTTCAAGGTCCTGCATCTTGAATGTCAAAATAGGTCACAAAAATTTAACCACAATCCATTGAAGCTGTGATTAGCAAGAGTTAAATGTACAAGCTAGGAAGAAGAAAAAAAGATCCCTTCAGGTATAATAAATGCTATAATTTTTTTCTTATTCTGTTCCCATTTCACTTAAAACCTCTCTTCCTTTCCTATTATGAATTGAGCTCTTCATTTAGTGATTAGTCCTTTGAATCTCCAATATTTAGTAAAATTAACAGTTCATATCTGCTAGGCTCTCACACATGCATGCACCTCACTACTCTACCCCTTGCCCTGCATTCTCTTCCCTGCTATGAATTTTCTCCCTTTAATTTCCAGACACTAATTTGTTATGTAAATACAAGTCAGCTATACAGGGTAAAGAAATATTTCATAATGGCATTTTAAAATTCTTTTTAATTTTGTTGCTCTTGTATTTCAGATTGATGTAGTATCCCTCTACCTGCTGTTTCTGGTACAGATGATCAATTCTGGACTACAAATCATATACACAATGGATGAAGTGACATTTGTTCAGAATTTAGTATACTATGTGGAGAGAGCATACCGTACCCCAGACTTTGGGATGTGGGAACGTGGCAGCAAGTACAACAATGGTACCCCTGAGCTGCATGCAAGGTAATGTAGTCATGGTCTTCATTCTTTTCTAAATGTGCCCACATCAGTGAGAGAATGACTTGCAATGAATTTTCTTGTCAGTTTGTCTGTCATTTTTGTGTAAAAGACGTGTACAAACATGTTTATGATGTTTCGTATTCTATTTCCTATATAAATCTGTCAGCTTTTCTCAGCCAATTTATCGGACAACCCAGCAGGTGAAGGCCTTGATCCCCTACATGGATCAAGGTCCACGTTTTGAGATACACTGATCTGTGTAGTGGAAGGCAATGTAATCTTGCTCTTTCCCATGCTTTGCTGTCTCTCTCTTGCTGACATCTGGTCTTCGAAAACCAAATTGTAAAGATATTACCGAAGGATTCTAAGTAATAGGTTGGTAGACAGCAACCGCCCAGGGAGGTACTACCGTCCTGCCAAGTGAGTGTAAAATGGAAGCCTGTAATTGTTTTACATGATGGTAGGATTGCTGGTGTCTTTTTATTCTGTCTCATACACATGCAAGATTTCAGGTATGTCTTGCTACTTCTGCTTACACTTAGGTCACACTACACATACATGTACAAACATATATAAACACACCCCTCTGGGTTTTCTTCTATTTTCTTTCTAGTTCTTGTTTATTTCCTCTTACCTCCATGGGGAAGTGGAACAGAATTCTTCCTTCGTAAGCCATACATGTTGTAAGAGGCGACTAAAATGCCAGGAGCAAGGGGCTAGTAACCTCTTCTACTGTATAGTATACATATTACTAAATGTAAAAGGAGAAACTTTCGTTTTTCCTTTTGGGCCACCCCGCTTCGGTGGGATACGGCCGGTGTGTTTAAAGAAAGAAGATTACCAAAGGATATTGTTTTCCATTTAGTTCTGTGAATTAGGAGATTCCTCATTATGTGTGGAAAGAAATACAGCCTCTCTTCACTTAATGACTGAGTTCTGTTCCTAATACCACATCAGTAAACAAATTCGTCACTTAGTGAGGAGCATACTATAATGGTAGTGGGTTTGTGCCAACCATCTTTGATATTGTTTTAATGTCACCTTTGCACAATTTATAACATTTCTGGTATATTTTTAAACGTTTATACAGTAGTGTACTGTATATTGTAATAAACAGAATAGAGGAAATCAACTCTAATATACATTATTTAGGTGTGTATACTGGTCAGAGAGCCTGTCCGTAAACGAGTACATCACTAAATGAGGAGAGGTTGTAATGCCTTTGTGAAGGCTCACAGAAAGGTGAATAGGAAATACAGGAAAAAATGATTAACCCTTAGAGGGTTTTGGCCGTACTAGTACGGCTTACGACCCAGGGTTTTTGACATACTAGTACGCCTAAATTCTAGCGCCCTCAAATCTAGTGGGAGAAAGCTGGTAGGCCTACATATGAAAGAATGGGTCTATGTGGTCAGTGTGCACAGTATAAAAAAAATCCTGCAGCACACAGTGCATAATGAGAAAAAAAAAAACTTTGACCGATTTTTTGGAATAAAACAGCGACTTTGCACTGTATTTTCGTATGGTATTTATTGTTGTATTCTGGTTTTCTTGGTCTCATTTTATAGAATGGAGGACATGTTACAGAAATTGAGATGATTTTGACTGGTTTTACAATGAAAAGTACCTTGAAATTGAGCTCAAAGTAGCAGAAATGTTCGATTTTTACCAAAGTTCGAAAGTAAACAAATCATGCCAAGCATCCAATACACGTCAACTGGTGAGTCTAATATTCTTTTGCAAGTGCGCCAATATTATTTATACCATTTTTTACACTAATGCAGTAGTCTGCAAACAGTAAATCTTCTATTTTTTGTGAGAATAAAAATTCAAAGTGGAAAGCAAAAGAATGTAAGAGGGGCCTTGAGACCTGACTAATGAACAGAGGAAATGTCATTTTAGTGTCAGGAATGTCTTTCTTGTTTATTCTGGACCCTATTCGGAAATTGGCATCTTTTGAAATTTGTGTGAAATTGGCAAAATTGCTAAATTCTGACCACTGTACTGGATAGTTGAAATTGGTAAATGGGTGGTTTCTTGCACTCATTCGATAGAAAAAATGGAGTTCTAGCAAAATATTCATGTTTTTTGTCGACTAGTACATTGGAATTGGCCGAAAATAGGGCTCAAAGTGGGCTAAATCGCCGATGCGTAAACATCGCCGAGACCGCTTACTTCGCGAGAGCATAATTCCGTAAGTTTTCCATCAAATTTCATACTTTTGGTGTCATTATGATCGGGAAAACATTCTCTATCTTTTCATAAGAAAAAATTATTATTTTTATTTTCTCGAAATTTGGCCGACCCTGAGAACGAGTCTCGGAGAGGGCCTGTCGACCCTCAAAGGGTTAATGAGTCATAATAAAATAGTGAAATGGGGAATCATCAAGAAATTCTTATACAATTATTAGTGTGAACTCTAAGTTGTAATAAACAACTGTCAGTGAATAAACAGACGGGTGGAGGAGGGGTTCAAACTGTGGTTTGTAAATTAGTAGTATATTCATAGGTGACCTTAGTTTGTCCTGTTTTTCCAAGATTCTAACTTGGTAAAAAAAATCTCGTGTTTATCAAGATATGTAGAAAATTGCTTGAAAGGTGCATAACATTTATTCTTTTCATTTGGGTAACAGTTCCATTGGAATGGCCAAAGCAGCACTCGAAGCTATCAATGGTTGTAACCTTTTTGGAGAGAAAGGTGCATCATGGTCCGTCATCTTTGTTGATATTGATGCACACAACCGAAACCGTAGTATCTTCGAAACATTATTACCAAGAGAATCTAGCTCAAAGGTATTTGATCACCTGTATTTTTGTTATTTTGTGTGTTTTTCCCCACTGTGCCCTGTTACTACTAATATCAAACACTAGGTAAAGTCACCTTATTTATTTACACTTATCCTTTTTCATAAACATCTTTATTTGGCAACATCCTATTTAATGCATCTTTGTATTTGCACTTCATTTGTCATACTCATTGATTCTTGATGCACCAAATAAGATTAACCTGTATATGTAAACTATTATTTTATATTAATCATGAGAATATAAGAAAATCAGCAGTGAGAGCCTTTCATTTTGTTGTTAAACTTGTATAAGGAATTTTACTTTCAAGATTCCTGGCTATACTGCTGAATATCTGCAACGTGTTTCTACCTAGAAACCATCTATATAAATACTTTGCCTGTTTATATTTGAAACATTTTTTTTTTTCTAGAATGTGGATGCAAGTCTACTGCCCACCATATCATTCCCTGCTTTTGCAACTCATGACCAGATGTTGTACTCAAAAACTAGATCACAGGTTAGTTGCCTTAGAAGTGTATGTTATATTTTAGTGTATTGTCTCAAATTTTAAATACATTCAGTGGAATGTTCAGGTGCGGAAGGTCATGGTAGGTTAAGGGCATTTAATGAACTTGCAGATTCCTCTCTGCATTCCTCAGTTCAGAGCTTCTTATTCTCCTGCAAGCAGTTACCATTTTCCAATTATTTTCTGCTTTGGTCTCAAAATTTGTGAGATTGCTGGTAGCATTATTGATGTGCAGTAGTTATCATCAAGGTTTGTTACATTGAATCACAATAGTCATTCTGGCCTTCATCTTTTCTTCACTATTAATTGTGGAAAATAGCACTTTTGAGCTTGTGTGTTCATCACATGCTGATCCAATGGAGAAGTGCCTAATACAACTGCAAAAATTATCAGGTTATGATGACAGTCCATCTTTTCATTGATTGTCCTATTTGTCACAGAGCATACCACCTTCATTTTCGAATTTTGCTTCATTGCTGATGTGCTTACTGTATAAGCCCACCTTTAAGGAGTATTTGATATACCATATTTTACAGCATTGATTATGTTATTTTTGCCTTAAATAAGTTTTGAAAATTTACCCAGTGTCTTGGAGGCTGAAGTACCATTGATGATTTTTTTTCCTCATATTTAGCCAATCAGAATTGGGGGTGGGGGGTGGAAGGGTGTTGTTCTCGACAGCAGAGCATTTGTTCGCTGTAAAATGTGGAACTAACCCAGAATACTCCTACCTCTCCTTTTACCATCATTCTCATGATTGTCATGCAGCTTATTTCTGGGGACATCATAGAAAACTTTGCTATGGTGTACAGAGATATACCTAGTTGGATGAATCTGGCCTGTGAGTTTTAGCATTCAGTTGCCATGAGTTCAAACCCCACTTTTTCCATAATCTGTAATTATAAATGCTCATTATAGATAAAAGATAAATGCTTATTATAGATAACAGATAATTATAATTTCTCATTATAGATGAGAGATCATTATAAATGCTCATTAAAGGGAAGTGATAATTATAAATGCTAATAAATAATTCTTTTGGTCACAGATAATTATTATATACAGTATACAGATATAGAATGTTTGTGAGTAAGGATGGAAAAGATAATATGTCAGAGGTTTATTATAAAATTATTATAACTTGGCAATTTATTATAAAATATTGAAAGATATAATTTATTGTAAAAATTTAAAAGATGTTAAATAATCTTTAACAGATCATTAACTCCTTGGAAGGCAAGTACGGGTTCAAGAGATTTCACCGAGATGGTTATGGAACGGTTATGGAAGACAAGAAAAGGAGGTTTTATCACAGTGCAGAAACAAAGGTAAAGCTCCTGAAAAAAACAACAGTGATATTTTTAATGGAGGGGCTGTTTACTTCAACCTGAAGAGAGTCTCTGAGGCCAAAATACACGCATTATTTTACCCTGTTTCATTTTCTGCGCAATCAGTATCTCACTTTTTATGTTACTTTATTTAAATTTCATCTTAGCTACTTAGGAGCTTGTTTACATGGTTCAGACATTGGCTTTATGTTCAGGAATCGTTATCCTTTAAGGGTGAATAATACTTGATAATCTGATTGTGAATAATTGGCTTGAACATGGCCGGTTCCTGAGCATGGGCAGTGGTTAAGAGGGGTTGGCTATTTGTGAGTCAGCCAACCACCTCTGACTTCAGGCCAACAGCTGGTCAAAAATCAAACTGTCAGCTTAAGTTGCATCTAGAGTAATAGTTATAATTATAGTTTAAACAGTGGATTCCTTATTATATTGTATTTTATTTTATCACAGGAATTTGAGAAGATAGAATGCCAGTGGCCCTTATTCTACTTGTACATGATTTTAGAAGGCATGTTCAAGAGTAAAGAAGAACAGGTGGAAGAGTACAAAAACAAACTAAAACCTCTTCTGAAGAGAGATAAGTGGGGAGGTACTTCTTTTATTTAATCTGTAATAAGTCGGCCGTCTTGTCACCCTGCCTCGGTGGGAGACGGCCGACTTGTTGAAAAAAAAAAAAAATGTAATAGTGGCGCTTAGGGCCAGGAATCCACCTTTTCCTTTTTCATTCATACCATCAGCAATCATCTGTTTCTTGTCATCTCGCACTACATCCACGCACATTTAAGAAACCCAGTTTTTTAAAGTTTTTCTTCTTCTCTTTTTTTAGTAATTGTTAATTACAGGAGATGGGGTACTAGCCCCAATTGACTCCCGGCATTTTAGTCGCCTCATACGACACAGCATGGCTTACGACGTGAAAAAGTTCTTTTTTCCCACTTCCCCATGGACAATAGACAGAAATAAAAAGTACAAGAGCTATTTGAAAAAAGAGGAGAAAAACCTAGATGTAATGTAATATTTATATATGCATGTGCGTGTCTGTGAAGTGTCTAAGAGCCCTGTGACCCAAAGTGTAGTAGGGGTAAGCAAGATTTCCCTGTTATCTTAGCGTGTTTATGAAGACAGAAAAAGAAACCAGCAATCCTTCACTTCATGCAAAAAACTGTTACAGGTTTTTGAATTTCTCAGTCACTCGACTGGCTGGACGGTAGCTACTTCCCTGGGTAGGGTGCTGTCTTACCAACCTACTAACCACGACATGCATTGCAAGTCACAATTCAAATGATCTTTGGAATTACATGCCAACCATCTTATCTTCCTACAAAATGGCAAGCTTTGAATCTAATGACCTTGGAGGGAGAGGACCAAGGAAAGTGAGACTACAGAACCAAACATATAAAAAATTACCCGAGGAGTTGACCAGGGAAAGGACAGGGAAAGATGTTGGAGAGGTTGGGGGAAAACAGGTATTTGGGATCACACACATTTGGTTAGTTAACAGACACGATGAGTCATAGGGTGCGTCAGGAACGTTTACTCTCATGTCTCCAATTCTCAGAGTGATCGGGAAGTGGAATGACCCTGACAGAGAGGGTGGTGAAGCAGAAGACTCAATACATTAGATTTAACAGACGTAGCCTGCGCTCCGGTGCGCGGGGTCGTAGCTAACTAACGGCTCGGGTGGTCTAGTCTATAGGTCCCATGAGGCTAGGATGAGAAGGAATCTTGCAAATTGGCAAGGTTGAGAGGCAGGTCCCATGAACTTGCCCAGCAGCCTTTATTCTAGGGCGCAAAATACATATAGAGTGAGTACTCTTCTTTTCAAGTCCTCCCACAAACTTTAGAACAAGTCTCTTGTTTTCATTTTCACGTATATTTGAAGAACTGCTGTACTGCCATTGAAGGTAATAAAAAAAATAAAAAAAAAAATTCAGTGTAATGCATTGATTCAGTGGAGGCGGGCGTGTGACGGAGTGACGCGCGGGGGTAAGGACGGAAGGACATAGGATCGGGAATCCGTGCAGGCGCGTAGGCAGTGGGTGGGAGTGGTCGGGACATGCGACGGGACGGTCTGTTGAGGCCAGAGTCTCCGAAGGGGACCCATGACATTGTTTAACACTACTGCTGATGAACTGGGTTACTGATAGCTATTTATTGCTATTTAATTTATCTTTTTTTAGAAAAAATTCCTTGATGGCAAAAATACCCATTTTTTAATAAGCAGTTTAATTATTTAGGTTAATTGATTATCCTTTGCAAGAGAACACAGTTTGATCGTTCAAGACAGTTATTATTTTTTTAAGAATGCTACCCTTTTGCTTGCCATCTCACAGGAATCGGGTTAACTACAGTACCATCTGGTGCAAGTTGCTTTCACCTGTATTCTATTGAAAATGAACTGTGAATAACATTTAAATGCTATTTTTTATAAAAAAAAAAAAACAGCCACAATTTAAAAGGGATAATAAATTATGCGGCGCGAAGGGTATTTCATGAAGACGGGTTTGAAATTGTATTTCTGTTTCTTGACGTTATTATAGAACATACAAGTATTTCCTCCATTACTCGAATATATCCATTAGGAAGAGTACGCTATTAATATTTAATGGAATGAGTAATATTGGGTATATGGAAGTGATGTAGATCAGTTGAGCTTATGATTATAAATTATTGTATTATCTACACTTTTTTAAATGAAGTAGAGAGGAGCTTGAGGACTTTTTATGAAGAATGGTCTTGTATACTTTCCCCTCACATTTCAGAGTAAGGTTGCACTTGCAAGATCTTGTGTGAACGTTTATAATAATCCCCACAAACTAAAAGTGTGTGAGAATTAGTGGCAACACTTACACAAACTTGCTGAAGTGCTTTCCTTAATAATTTCGACCCTTCTGTAAATGGAAGCACTATCTATGATCATATATCATATTCATATTCATTTTTAATATATCACTCTTTTACCATCCTAAATCACCTCATATAATCATCAACCCCACACCATCACCACCCTCATCACCACCAAAATCAAAATCACCATCAAAAATCACCACCACCTCCAATAATCATCATTTCAATCTACTCTTCCTCCTATCATCACTCAGATCCCTCAATAAAAGCCATGGAGTTCTCTTAGATCTCTATAAAACCGAAATAAAAATATTGGTAGTTAGGGTGTGCATCACTTTGAGACATTTGACTCTGACATGATTTTCTCATTTTTATTGTGGCTGCCGTTATTTTTCACGAATACTTTGCAGTCTGTAATCTAATACCAGATGTCGTACACTTGTTATATTATAGTTAATAAAAGGTGCCATTATAACAGTTCTGGGAGAGTAAATGTGACACAGCATGGTGCTACATATGTTCCATATACTCCTGAAATATTTAAAACCGTGGGGTTACTATTCTTATTTTTTAAATTAGATTTTATTTTTTGTTTAGACTTGGAACAGGTAGCTTGCTTGGCTCCATACTTTACTAAACATCTGGGATAGTCGTTGCATAGGCTGATATTTGAACCCTGTATGAGTATGTGTGATAATATTAATTTTTTTCTCATTTTACCGTAGGTTTGTGTCACATTTTGTTTACCTCTGGTTATATAATATTGATTTTTCTTATCTGGAAGGTATGATAATCAATTTATATCTTAACTGGTCGAATTGATTACGTTACTTTTTTTTTTTAATTTAAGTGATTTTCCCCCCGACAGTATTTTTTGATATGATTTAAGTTTTTTTTATATTAAGCATGATTTTAATATTTTCCTCATTAATATCTGCATTGCTTAAGCTGGAAAATTTCTTGTTTTACTCAGCGTTCAAGGTACTTTTTAAAGGTAAGGGGAGGGTGCATTAGATTTAATTTTAGTTTGTCTTTGCCTCATAGTGTTATACATTGTGCACCTCATCCTACCCATGCATGCCCAGACATATTAACGTTGCTAATAAGTGCTTCCAGTCAATTTCAAAAACTTTTGCTAATGAAAAAAAGGTCTTCACCTTACCACTTTGAATCTTATTGGATGACCAATCGCAGTATATTCACGCCTCCACTCATTAAATAATTTTATATTTGGGGTGGTCTTTGAAATAAACATTTAATCAGAAAGACTTGTTATCCAATGCAATTCTTGAGTAATCTGATACTAATTGTTGTACAGTTACCTATTTATTGGTGTAGGAAATAGATTTATGCTCATGGTAATCTTCGTCTTCAGTGTTTACATAGTCATTTATGATTTTCAAATTTTTTTTTTAATACACTGAGCCATCTTCACCACAGGCAGGGTGCTGACTCAGAAAAACACAAAGAAACAAAGGTTCAGATGATCCTCCAAACATGTGCCCCACTTGCATGTTCTGCCACTAAATCTGTGAAGATAAACCTTCTAATATACTTTTTTTTTTTTTTTGCAGTACTTTTTCCTTGATTTAAAAGTGTGCCTTTTCTTCTCTCTTTTGAGGGCACTGAGAAATATTCTTTATCTATTTTTCGTATAGTTTTGTGATGTTATCTATGGTTATTATGTCTTCCTGTCTTTGAACAGGCTACAATACAAAATATGAATTAAAAAGATAGGTTGCAACATTGAAAATGTCATTGTTGGTTGATTAGAAAAAAAGAGGAAGTGTAATAACTACTTAAGATAATGAAATAATTTGTCATGAAAAGGTAAAGGAAGGGAAACTGATTGCAATAGTTAGTGTTTCTATCTCAAAAAATAACAGAAAGAGGATTCAGCCTCTCTTTCACTCTATGCACTGCATGACTAACACAGGTCGTCTTCATTCATCCTATCTAACACGCTCGCGCACGCTTGCTGTAAGTTCCAAAACCCCTCGCCCAAAAACAAACTCCTTTACCCCATCCCTCCACCTTTTCGAGGACGACCTCTATCCCCGCCTTCCTTCCAAACACCCTCAACACCTACAGATTAATACGCTCTCCATTTCATTCTAATTTGATCACATTCTTCTAAAGACAAACCACCTATAAAACATGTGATTTAGATAAGAAAAAATTGGATATCAAATTGGGGGATAAACAATAACAAAATTTAGGCGTTTGGGAAAGAAAGTGATGATGTTTCATGATATTTGGGTGTTGAGTTCAGCAGTTGGATTTATGAGGATGAGGTTAATCATTAGAATTGATGATAAGGAAAAAAAGGTGAGTGGTGCATTGACCAGGTTATACGTGGAGACAAAAATTTGTCTATCTATGGAGGCAACGAAGGGTATGTATGAATATTGTTACCAAGCTCTTATATGGGTTGTGAAGCTTTCGGCCGTTTGTAAATGCGCAGCGAGGAGGGGAGTGGAGATCTGTCCTGTATAAGGGCAATGTGTGGTGTTCAAATATTATGCAGAAAAATTCGGGAGTGTGGAAATTAGGAGGGTTTCATACCGTGGGAGTTGATAAAAGTTAATTACTCAGAGGGATGAAGGGGAATTGTTGAAGGTGGTTTGGTCTTAGAGAGAATGGATAAGTTAGGAATGACATGGAGAACGCAGTATAAAATCTGTTAAGGGAAAGGAAGCGGGATAGGGGCCATCCTCGAAAAGGTTGGAGTGAGGGGGGTTAAAGGA